CTGCCGCATCTCCGCCCTTGACGTCTGAGAAAAGGTCATGTATACTTTCAATTATGTATCTTCCATTTTCTTCTTCTTGTTTTTTTAAATTTTTTTATTTTTTATTTTTTATTTGTCTATAATACGTGATTCAATTGGTGCAGGGGAAAAAGATGAAGGCTCATGATCAACAGGAGAATGCAATGGAGAAGCAGCCAAAGGAAGAGCGCGAACATGAGGCAGAGGTGAATAAAGAGATGAGGAAAGGATCATGCTGAATCGCTGATCCTAGATGAGATCAGATGTAGAGCTAGAAGTTGATCATATGTTCTCAAATTATGTGGTTGTGTCTAAAAAGGGGTATGGGATTGTAACGTCATTCTAGTGTTTTGTAAGGGGGTGGTATATATGTTGGTAGTATTGATTCAAGACTTTGTGCAGGTTTTATGTAGCTTGTTGCAATGAGGGTTATATGGATCATTGTTGTGCGCCTGCATTATTTAGATTGTGATCATCATGTTTCTTAGCTTATTATCAGATCTTTGTTTGATTTTTATGTGAACGAATGAACGAATGACTGTGTATATGAATGAACGATTGAATGGGATCATCATGTGCTCTAATTCTTGTTTGATTTTCTTCTTGAACTGAGATTTTTGTTTAGAGGAGCTTGTTGGTTTGTATGGAACTATTGGGGACGTTTGAGTGGCTAGTTTGGAAAGGAGCCTGAAATGGATAGAATATCATGTTTTGCACATTTCCATCAACAAAAAAGGATTGTATGTCTGGAGATATGCAGGGAACAAATGTTTATAGTGGGGGTTCTACATCATGATGAATTAAATATGCACTCTTCCATGTAGTCTATTCGCTTCAGTGCTACATGTATATATCTAATTTCTGTAGTTGGAAACCCTTGCATAAATTTAGTCCCTGCTAAACATACTTGCACCAATTTTCTCAATCTCATCAACACATTTCATTGGGTGTTCTACACATCCCACATTATTTCACAACAAGAAAAGAAATCTCTGCTAAAAAAATTAATAGTATATAACCGAAAACTCCAATAATCTACATAATCCAACTAATTAGTCCATACAACCACAATATACAAATACTTCTCTACAATCACAATTAGTCTAAGTCCTTACAATAATAAGCCCATACAACCAAATTAGACAATAAACATCCAAATTGGTCAATAAACTTAACACATCATTTAACACCTCATTGTTCTTGAGCTCCAAAATACTTTTGCAAACTATCTCGCAAAACATTGTTGCTCGCTCGAGGCGGGGTCGGAGGAAGGAGGCTGCGGCACTGGTGTTGTCGCCGAGACGTGGTCGCGGCGGCGGAGTGGTCGCGGGGGAGCTCTTGAGAGAGGAGAGGA